CTCGTTGCTGCAGAGCTCAGGGCAGCAGGAGGGCACTCCTTTGTACAAGAACACCCAAAAGCTTTTTGCAGCTGGGTGCTGTGTGTGCAGTGTGTGGCCTGGAGCTGGGCTGGAAGATGAGTGGCTGAAGTCCAGCTGCAGAGCCAGCCAGCTCTGCTTGCTGCATTCGGGGAAGCTCATGTGGATACATTTCTGCTTTTTTGAGCAACAGTGGCCTTCAGAGGGCTCAGCAGGAACTGCTTGGAGCTCCCTCTGTGCAACAGTGCTGAGGTGATCCAGTTAGCTGCATGAGTAAAGCAGAGCCTGTTGCATCTCTCGCTGTCTTTGCTTACCTTGTTTTGGAGGTCGAGCAGAAGCGTGGAAGCTAAGCTGAGCAGCAGAAAATGCGGGCACAGGGCTGAGCAGGGTCTTCCTTCACAGTGGGTTCTTCTCCAGTCTGATGTTGGTGTACATCCCACCGAAACCAAGCACTGTGTAGAGGGAGGCCTGGCTGGCAGAACGTGAGCCAGAAGCTTGGGAGGCAGAAGCCAAGGACAAACTTCTCACCGAAAACTGCTTTGTGTCTGTGGGTTTCTTTGAGGTGGGTGATGCAAGTGGTGTTGCCCCATTGATTTAGCATTGGAAAAAGCTGCTTGGTTGGATGGCAGCCATCAGCTGATGGTCACTGGACTTTCCAGTTTCTGTAATGAGAGTCTGACCTGTAGAGCTCATGGGAGCTGCTTCTGGGGCGTAATGGGTGTTCTTTTATTCCCCTGATAAGGAATTTTAAACAAACCCCAGGCTGTTCAACCTTTAGATACAAATGAATGACTTGCTTCTTTTCTGTACAGAAACCTTCAGCTTTTTAGATGAACTTTAGGAGAATAGGTCTTAACCCACTGTGTGCACAGGCCAGGGTTGGGGGGGGAGAACTGCAGTGTGCAGAGTGAGGAAACAAAGCGGTCATTCTGCTTTGCTAACATCTTGTGGCTGACTCATAGGTCTGACTTTTCTGGAAGTGAATCCAGTTTGCATGCAGTGCTGCTTAGCTGTGCTTTCATGTACTGCAAGGCGTGGATCCCATCTCTGTGTTTTTGTTATAACTATATTTGCTGGGAGTTTGTTTTTATCTGTCATTCACGACCTGCTGATTGATCTGCAGCTCATGTTGCGGTGTTTCTGTTGTTGGTTTTTGGTCATTTTATTATTTTGATGAAGAGTGAGCTGTACCTTTAGTGGAGTAAAGAGCCCACTGTTTTTCAAAGCTCAACTTCTGTGCTACAAGGGACAGCGGACTGCCTTGCTGTGACTGTAAAACGCTGTCAGCTGATACTGCTAACAGAGCGTTATTGACTTGTAGCTCTCCTCCAGGTTGGCCTTGATGTGATCCAGAGCGCTCACTCATGGAAGGCTGAAGGTGGGGTCTGTTGATTTGTGAGCTGCTGTTAGGGCAGTCACTTCCACCTGTCACACTTATCTTGAAGAGCTTTATGTGTATCTTGGGGCCCAGGAGGGAGTTTGCTGGCTTGCAGAGCACGTTGGTTTGCTGAGCAGTGCTGTTTCGTCAGCTCCTCTGTTGGTTTCCTGATGCACAAGACCTTGGTCTTGCTATGTGTCATGGCAGTTGCATGCTCCAAGCACTGCTTTCATGTAGACAGCAGCATGGGAGGTCATAGGGCAGCAAAGCTCTGTCTGCTTATGCTCTTTCAACCTTTGGCATCACTGAGCTCACCAACATTTACTGCATCGATTGAAGCTGTTTGCGGTTGGTTGGTGGTTGTTTTCTCACATGTCTGTGTGTGTCACGTGGATTTTTTTATTGCTGCTTTTGTGAGCAGTCAATGGTAATTTAGGAAACCAACTGGCAAACCGTGGTGCTCACAGCATTTGCTGCTGAGGGTGACTCATCCCTCAATCCCCAGGGACGGAGTGTTTGAGCCTTTGGTCACTTGTTCGGCCCTGCTGCTGCTTGTTCTTCAGCTTGGTTCTGTTGTTTCAATACCAATGGCTGCAGTGATCTGTTTCCTGCAGAGATCAGCTGCTGAACTTGGAGTTGGACTCAGTTGTCCTCATGGGTCCACCTAACTTTGGGCATTCGGTGATGCTATGAACTTCTTCACTCTCAGGGGGACGGTTGGTTGTTTGCCTGTTTGTTTGTAGTTTGGAAGGTGAAGGAGTTCTTTGGTTCAGTGTTTTGTTTTAGGGGGTTATGGTTGAGGAAATGAGTTTTATGGAATGCACTCAAACCAAATAACATCAGGATTGGTGTAAATGTTTGGCGTATCTTGTGTGCTCTGCAGCAAAGTGTCCTTCTGTTGCATTAGCTCTTTTCTGAGCGTTTTTAACTAAATCTTCTCTGTTTCTTAAAGCATTTAAAGAGATTTTGGGTGTTGTTTGCTGGCTTAAGTGGAACAGTTTCCTAAGTGAAAATTGTGTGCGTACTGAGTTTGCTTAGGAGAGACGTTTTGCTTTTCGGTGCTGTGGATTGAACTGTGTGTATTGGTACTTCTGTTTATATCCATGTATTTAAGGTAGAGTTAAGCCACCTCTTCAGCAGGGAGCAGCAGGTGAAGCATAATGAGGCTTTGTAGGGTAAGAGGTGGTGGCTGTGGGTTTCATCAGAGGAAATTCAGGTTGGAAATGAGGAACAATTTCTTCTCCAAAGAGCAGTGCTGCGGTGGCACAGCTGCACAGGGAGGGGAGTCACCATCATTGGAGGTGTTCCGGAATCATGGAGATGTGGCCTTGAGGTGGGGTGGTTGGGGTTGGACGTTGAGGGTTGCTGCTGATGGGGATGGAGAAGCATTGAGGCAGCCAGCATCCAAATGTTGGCAGTACGGCAGCGCTTGGAGCTCCTCACAATGAAAAGCATCTGTGATTCATGCTGCTCAGTGAGTTGTTTCAGCTCTGAAAAGCGAGCTCATGTTTAAAGTAGCAATTAGAGGGCTAATTTCATTTGAATTCGGAGAGCAAGAGTAGGTTTTCAGGCTAGTTCATGTCTCCATAAACACAGCACGGTTGGATGGCAGAACACAGGTAAGGGAGCTGTCTGTACAATAACTAATAGGGATGGAAAAGGTAAGTGTTCAGGGTTGAGGTCAATGTGAGCAGATGAAGGCAGCTGGGAGCTGAGGCAGCAGTTCTGTCCCATCCACGTTGGATATAAGCATTGGTACCCACTGTAAGTCATGGCTTGTTCTCCATCCTTCCTGCATGTGTCTGCGTTGGAATTCAGCAACAGATTTTAAACCTTTTGTTTCTATCTAAAGCTTTTGTTCAGACTCATGTACGTTGCTTAAGTGATCTAATTAGGTCTTTGGTTCTCACTTGTACTGTAAATGGTGCAGTTTGAAGGAGCCAAAATAGAAAATGATGCTTGTGAAAAACCTTGTTTCGATTTTGGGTGTTTTGGAGCTTCAGGCACCATCCTCTCATCACTGCTGATCTAAAAAAGAGTCATACATATTTAGTAATAGGTGTGCAAAGCCTTGCGTTTCAGCACATCTCATTTGTTTTTGGGCACTGAATTATCCTGTCATTGTAGAAGATAGTACCATAGCTACGTGAAAATAACTTACAGGAGGGAAGCAGAACTTTTGCTGTAGCTCAGTTCACTTTGAACTGCGCTGATACGCTCTGTCACCAGGTAATGGCAGCTGCTTAATTCATAGAGTGGAATGGATTTAGTGTAGGACTTTGTTGGCACCTCAGGAGAGAGACGAGAGGTTACCCTTGATTTGCCTTTTTTCCATAGTTTTGTGATAGTTGTAAGGGTTTAAAACCGCCTGGATGATTTATGTGTGATATTGTAGAACCAGAAGGGAGGTCCTGCTATGATGTAACAGTTAAACATTTTTTTTACAGCACGTATTTCCATTCCATACTATAAACGTGGGTTGACTGTAACTATAAACCCATGGATGTGGCTGCCAGGATGCTTTATGGAGCGTAGCCGTCTTACTGGCATTGGCCATTGCCTTTTGATTTGTCATGGGAGCACTTGCCATAAACCTCTGTGTAAAATGCCATACATTCACATTCTTAGCTTGCAAGTGTTATGTTTTGGATGGGGGAGGGTGCTGGCTGTCATGGGATCAGTGAGGTTGGAAGAGACCTCTAAGATCATCAGGTCCATCTCCCAGCCCCTCCATGCCCAGCAAGAATGCAGATCTGTTTAGGTGATGTAGGAGAAACTAAAAGTGCAAGCTGACAGCATTGCTTGAAAGGAGCACAGTTCCTGTTTGAAGGTAGGATGCAGTATATACTTTGTTCTGGGAACGCTTCATTGAAATTATACAAGGCTTTACCTCTTCTGCTGCTATTCTAGTTGAGAACAGGGCTGATTTTTCTCTCTAATTTATTCAGTTTTTCAGTATTTCGGCTATTGAAGGCTGATCTTAGTTTTGATCCTGGTCAACTTCAGTGTTGGGTTTTGCTTAATTCATTTTGACTGTCCACTTCTTTCACCAAAGCTCCCCTTGAAATGAAAATGGATTTGTCCTCTACTTATTGGGAACTATTTCTCTTTGTTGCTTTAAGCCCATGATCAAAACCTGGAGAATCTCACAGTCAAATGTTGTTACATTGCTGTGAAACATCTTTTGCTGTCATCTTGTGTTCTCTGAGGGAAGTGGAGCATGTCAAGCTCCTCACTTAGTGAACAAAGGTGCCTTAATGGTTGCTTTTCCCTATTCTAAAGTCCCATACAAATGATGTCTTTGACTGCAGAGTGTAACAGAAGTTATCCAGTGCTGGAATTCTTTCAAATACAGTGCTGGACTATGCCAGAGAACTTCTGTGTAAATAACAAGATTTGTGATTGTAAGTGTTACGGGCTGTTTTGCTGCCATGGTGGACAAGAGGACTTTCCATTATTGGCTCTTTGTTTTTTAGATGTTGCATTTAGTAGTCTTGATGCAACATCAGGAGACACTAATTGTATCGAATGCCATCAGATAATTGTGGTGCTGGTGTATTGCTGTAGCTGTTAATTAAGTTCTTTTTTTTTCCCCTCTCACCAGACCCTAACTTACTTTGGATCAGGATCTCCATGGCACGTGAACTAGAAAGTAATCTGCAATAGAAGGTCTCTTAATTTTGAAGCGACATTCTTGATCAAAATGGTTGGAAAGCTCAAGCAGAACTTGCTGTTGGCGTGCCTGGTGATCAGCTCAGTGACAGTGTTCTACTTGGGCCAACACGCCATGGAGTGCCACCACCGCATAGAGGAGCGCAGCCAGCCGGCGCGGCTGGAGGGCCTGAGAAGCACAGTGAGAACTGCCTCTAATGGGAACCCCAATAAAACCTTTGCTTACAACAAAGACATGCCTTTAATATTTATTGGAGGAGTACCTCGAAGTGGCACCACGTTAATGCGTGCCATGCTTGACGCTCATCCGGATATTCGATGTGGAGAGGAGACGAGGGTAATCCCACGAATTCTGGCAGTGAAGCAGATGTGGGCCAGGTCAAGCAAAGAGAAGATCCGGCTGGATGAAGCTGGAGTCACAGATGAGGTCCTGGACTCAGCCATGCAAGCGTTTTTATTGGAAATCATCGTGAAACATGGGGAGCCTGCGCCTTATTTGTGTAACAAAGACCCTTTTGCTCTAAAATCCTTAACTTATCTTGCTAGAATTTTCCCCAATGCCAAATTTCTTCTAATGGTACGGGATGGTCGAGCATCTGTACATTCCATGATATCTCGAAAAGTCACAATAGCTGGGTTTGACCTCAACAGCTACAGAGACTGTTTGACCAAGTGGAATCGTGCTATAGAAACTATGTATAACCAGTGTATGGAGGTTGGCTTTGAAAGATGTATGCTGGTACATTATGAACAGCTTGTATTGCATCCTGAAAGATGGATGAGAACTCTCTTAAAGTTCCTCCGCATCCCGTGGAACCAAGCAGTGCTGCACCACGAAGAAATGATTGGAAAAGCCGGGGGTGTTTCTCTTTCCAAGTGAGTATGAGCGTTCCTCTCTTGTCTGTTATTGCTCTGAAAGATAAAATAAGGGCCTTTTGCATGTGAAAGACCAGTCATAACTCAGTTCTTCAGTAGCTAGTGATATCTTGGGAAGCTGATCTGTGGTGCAGATTGTATGCCAAATAGGAATGGCTGTCAATTGTTGCTTTGTAGTCTTGGGTGAAGTCTGAGCAGTTGTCCCTCTAGCATATATGTGTGGAGCCAGTGAACTAGCTCATACTTGAAGGTCAGTCTAACTTGAATTTGGACATCGAGCACCAGCCTTTCCCCCAGCAGAGCTTTGCTTTTCCCTTTGCCCCAAAATGAACTTAGGCCGTTTCTGTCTAGACTGGCATTGTTAGTCCCAGCGAGATCGCCCATGTGATTTCAGGAGCTTAATTATTGTTGTCAATGCAGGAATGGCCTTTGAGGTGCATTTGCCAAGGACGTACTCTTCCAGGAAACTTGAGAAATTGTTCCAACAAAATAGAAAGCAGAATTGGCATGCGCTTCTGTTGGCCTGCGCTCCTCTGAGGACAAGCACTGAATAAAATTAACCTCGTTGGAGGCAAATCTTAGTAGTCTGTCACCATCTGTGTGTCTGACCTAACTGCTTTCAGGAACAGAAATCCAGCTGTGCTTATAAAACTTCAGTATTTAGAAGGAGTTTTTTTGGTTGTTGGTTTGTTTTTTCTTTTCTTTTCTTTTTTTTTTTTTTTTTGCATTTTTGGCTTTTTCTCTCTCTTTGCTGTTGCGGATCGATCTGACAGATCGCAGGTCACTTACAGTTCTAAAGTGTTGATTAAAGAGCCGTTTTCCAGCAAGACCTGCACAGTTAAATCCCCTGACTTCTGCTTTTTACTGTTCAGCACTGACCAAGTGCATTGGAGGAGCAGAGGCACCGTGCTCAGCAGCATGGGCTGGGATTTCAGCTAAAGCTGAAGTTTTGAGAGAGAAAAGTGGGAAGCCGGTTTTTTCTTTACACAGGGAAGTGTCTGCTCTTGTTGTGTGAGGTTTTTAATACATTGTAGGGGGTTATGATTGAAAGCAGTGATAAATTTGGATGCTGCTATCAAGAAGGCATCCCAACCATATTGTGGTTTGTTTGTTTGTTGTTTTTTTTTTTTTGCAGTCTTATTTGTTAGCAGATGGAAGCCTTCAGATGGTGTTAACGCGGAGCAGAGTGCTGCTGTATGTCTCTGCAGGCTGTATCTGTGCCTGCACTCTTCTGCTATCTGTATTGTGTTACTGCTTCACAGTGGTGGCTGAGGGGGGAGCAGGCTGTCTTTTACTGCCATAAATAGGAGTTGCCAAGTTCTGTTAAGTGTCCTGTAAAAATAGCCGTGCAGAAGGCCTTTTTCTAGTAAATTTTTGCTGCTTTACAGCTCACAGATCAGGGTTTGTAAAAATTAATGGGCCTCTAGACTATAAAACTCAGTAGCCTTACGGAGTTCACACGGTTTCAAGTAGTATTTCTTGCTGGATCTGGTGGAATGGGATGTGAGGAGTTGAGAATATTTGTTCACGTCCCTAAAAGTTAGGAGAATGTAGTGCTGAAAGTAAAACGTGACTTTGGGAATGTTCCCAATTCAAACTTTGAAATTTCATACTTAGAATCATAGGGTCATTGCTTCATGAAGGTTGGAAAACACCACTGAGTGTCCAGTCCAACCATCAGCTCATCACCACCGTGCCCACTGAATGGAGCTGTAGAATTGTTAATAGAGAAGACCTGTGTGGTCATCTTGTCCAATCATCAATTGGTCTCAAAGCATTCTTTTCTTTGGGACCCTCAGTTGAGTTTGTTGATGGAATTGGATGGTTTTGCTATTTCTTGCAAGGTGATGCATGGAAATGATTTGTTATTTCAGGAGGTTTTGGCAGTAGGGGAAAGAGGGGACGTTCATGTTATGTCTGTGGTGTTTCTATCTAATCAAATACCCTTGAAATACATGGCGAGATTTGGTTTCCAGTTGCAGGAGACCTTTATAATTTGATAATGATTTTAGTGACTCAGTCTTTAGAGGGCTGTAGAACAAACAGTGCCTATGAAATTCTGTAACTTGCACGTCTGTTTCATGTCATTAAATGATGCTGATTGAAGTTGGGTCAGGGAAGCACGAGGTTCCCCAGTCTGATTTCTTTGCAGCAGTTGTACCCCATTGACATCCCCATCTCCTCGCTGCCCTGGAGCTGCTTTGCAGAAGGATCCTTCCCACACAATTTACGGTGAGCTTCAAGGGCTGTGCCACGGCTTATCAGATTTTGACAGCTGAACAAAATACACCTCGCAGCGTTTTCCCTCTATCAGGTTGCATTTGGCACATTCTCAGTTGCAGCCAAATTCCTTATGGCCTCAGGTGCTGAGTTCCAGGCTCAGGTTCAATTCTGCGTTGTTCTCCTGCAGCATAGAGTTTCCTTTGAGGTTTATCTGGGACTGCTCCATGCTGCAGTGTGTGAATATCACCTTCTTTCAGCTGAAGCATCCAACTCCAGGCCTGCGCTCTGCGCTCTGCCCATAGCTTTCTCCCACCTGCCTTCTCAAAGAGCAGCGCTGAAGATGCCCTCAGAGATCATCTGAGGAAATTCAGAACAGAGCTGTCTGTTACGTGCAACTTTCCCTTCTCACGGAGCCCTCTGCCATGTACTTCAAGCTGTTCTGTAACGGTGCCTTCAAATCAGATCACTCAAATTACATTACAGTTTTACTGGCAGGAGAAGCATTTCACAAGGAGCAAGCAATCTGTACCTGAGTGTGACATTGCTTTAGTAGCGCTGGCCTCGTAGCACAGCAGGGAAAGGAAGAGCTGGGTTAAGCTGTTTCCCCATGTCCTGCAAGGTGTTGCATGGGGCAGAAAGGCCCCCCCGTGGGATGGCTGGAGGTGTTAGAACTGCTGCAGGGTTTTGGAAATTTGTCAAGTGCTTGTTGCCTTGGATTGCTTGCAGGCACTTCGAGAAAGGAATCGCAGTGCCTCAATAAGATCTTGCAGCGATGCTGTTACCCAGAACTGTGATATGCAGTGCGTGTTGGAATGGGGCTCTGGGTCAGTGTGAGGTGCTTTATTAGCAGCTGTGCACGGCCTCAAAGTACATTAGTTCTCTTCCCTAGCTAAGCCAGCCACCAGGTGACCTGCACAACTCTTCAGGAAGTGAACAGTCTCAGTTTTCTCTTACTCCAAGCTCAGCAGCTCTTATGCAATAGTCTTTCAATAGCAGTGTGAGGCACTGGACAGTTCGTACTTAAGAATCTGACTTCATGTTTTCCCCCTAGCTGCTTGATTCAAGGAGACTGTTGGCCGTTCTGTGTATTTGCTCAGCAACCTCTGATTTCTGCTGACCCAGCCCTACTCTCACTGCTTTTCTATTTTATTATTCCTCCCTCCTTCTTTTGCTTCTTACTTGAGGAATGCTGCAAGGTGTTAAGGATGTGCACCACGGAATGAGCAGTAGTGCAGAACCTGTTTGAAGTAATTGCCAGCGTGGCTGTTCTGCTGGAGGAATGTTATGGCTGGGCTGCGTGCTATAATGAGCATTGTTAATATAGCTCTGGCATTTGCCTGCTAACTGAAAACAGCTGTGGTGACCACTGATGCAAAGAGCTGTCAACTCTTTAATAGCATTTTTATTGGCTTATTGTGAAAATAGCTGTCAAGGCAAAATTACTTCAGAATATATTTTTAGTGAATACCTTTTCTCCATTGTAATGGAGGACAGTGGTGGAAGTGGTTGGGGTTACCAGCTGCTCTCAGAACTCAGCCTGTTCCTGCAGTTGTGCATGGAACCTGACCAGGCAGCGTTTGCCACATGCATACACAATCAGATCTGCCAAGGCTTGCTGTGTTTTCTTGTTTTGTTTTGTTGTGATGTTTTTCTTCCTCCCTCCTGCCCCCCCCCCCTTCCCTCCATTGTCCTCTGATGTTCTTTGGTCTGAAGGGTCTTCCCCAGTAACTGCTGTATTTCTTCCCATCTGAAGTGACAGGACAGTGAAGGATTTCAGCAGAGGACTGAATGTGCAGTGCTGTATTTCTGGGTGAGCTCCGAGGAGCAGCTCTGCAGCCGCCTGTCTGTCTGTCACCACTGGGAATTGCTTTGTGCTGAGCTTATTGTTACCAAGGATTGAAATGTCAGTGGGGGACAGCGTGCACATTTGAAATGTGCTTTTGCTTCAGGACAAGATATCCATATGTGTACTAATTTGGGACCGAGTTGCTGCATAGCACTTACGCTTTGGGGTTCCAGTGAGCTGTTGGCCAAACCCAGTCCTGCTTATCCCAGCATCATCCTTACTTTGTGCAGGGGCTGTGGGTGCCCATCCGTGGAGGTGGCCCAGGCCGTGTGGGGGCAGTCAGCCCGAGCTGCAGTCAGAGCTCGATGATCTTTAAGGTCCCTTCCAACCAAAGCCGTTCTGTGCTGCTACTGAAGATGGCCAAACTCACAGCTTTGGTGAAGACATTTTGGGCTCGGCTTAGAAGGAGCCGCCTGACTTCAGGCTCCTCATCTCACAAACTGTTGGGAAGATTTAAGAAGTGTTTTTCTCAGAACGTTTTCTCACATGCTGCTGTGTAACTGAAGAATCAGCTGCCGGAGTGTTAATTTGAATCTTTGTATTCTTTTGCTTTGTCTCATGCAGATGAGGTGGTGCTGTTATCCTTTGTACGCTGCTTTTAATTTTGTTTTCTGTGTGCCAGAGCTTTTTGAGATTAAATTCTTGTCAGGCACACCTCACAGCATTACTTGTAATGCAAATGTCAGTGTTCCTCTGGGCGTTCTGTATACACAGATCTGATCTCAACCTGCCTTAAAGGAAAGATGAGCCTTGGCATCCCGAATCCTTGTGTGCTCTGAGTTCAGAACAAAGTCTGAGAGCCTCGGATTGCTGTGTGTGCTCTGAGTGCTTTTGGCCCGTGAGAGGATTTGGCATCTTCTAATCTAAAAGAAGCAAGGAACGTGGGAAAGCAAAGCAGTGCCAGATTGCTTCCTTTAAAAAAATGAAACAAACAAACAAAAAGCTTCACACAACAATAAGTGGGGTGCAAGAATGAAAGATGAAACTTGGATGGCTGATTTAAATGAGCAACAAACTATTTTATGCATACAGTACGTGTGACACTTAGGATCATTCACTTGCTTCCTTTAAGAACTGTCTGACCATCGGTCAGTTAAAGTAATTGTACAAAATATGATGACAGCCTTTATTTCTGTCAGATCCAGTGGTCTTTTCATGAAGCATCTTTCATTTGAGTGTCATGTGAAGATGGTGTGATATTCAGAAGTGCCTCTGGAAATGTTACGTGTGTCCCATTAAAGAAAATAAAGAGTTTAGTCACAATATGAGGGGAAGAATAAATGACACATGGGTTTTAATTTAGAATGCAACTTTCAAGAGCAATTAAGACAACGAAACAGCAAATGTGGGAGTAGTTCAGTGAGAAAACAGCTTTGTATGTAGGTGTGTGTGTGCTTCTCACTTGCTATTTCACAGTACTCTGTGAAGGCCTAAGTCGGAAAGCATGTGTGGATGTGTGGATGCTTATTTTAGCCTTGTGTAGTAAAACTTCCCACCAGCCCCGTGGAAACAGGAAATCTTGAGAAAGAGAAGGAAAGGGGGGGAAAAAAAATCATTAAGGTCTTACTGCCAGTGAAGAAGCAAGTCTTGGTTGGAGTGCAAAATATAACCTTTCCTTCTCCCTCTGCAGAGTTGAAAGATCTACTGACCAAGTCATCAAGCCAGTCAATGTGGAAGCGCTGTCCAAGTGGGTTGGGAAGATCCCTGCTGATGTTCTGCAGGACATGCCGGTGATCGCGCCCATGCTAGCAAAACTGGGCTATGATCCGTATGCCAACCCACCAAACTATGGGAAGCCAGATCAGAAAGTTGTGGAAAACACCAGAAGGGTAAGGCATTTTTGTGTTTGATTTGTTGCCCAAATGGAGGTGAGCTCTGGAGTAAAAGATTCCTCCGGTCCATTTCCAATACCTTCTAATGCCCTCCTTGCTGTGAAGGGCAGAATTCCATAGGACTGGAAGTCCAGCTCTTGTTCATCTTCCATTTCACTCTTCCTTTCTGCCAGGCAACGGGTCTGTGTTGTGTTCTTTGCTGTGTGTAACTGAATCTCTTGAGAACTGTCCGGATAGTCCTGGAAAAAAGCTAGCTGTCTTGCCCCGTTATTGAACTTGATTCATGAGCTCAACTTGTTATATGTGAGGTTTGGGATATGCTCTTTCACAAAATTGTCCTCCAAATACGTGAGTGAATTTGCAAAGTCACCAATGGAAAATAGCCCAGGATGACCAGAATATCAAATGCTCCAATTCTTTGCTGTTCCTTTGTAGAACAAACAAAAGATGGTGGAAAGTCTGGTGCTGATTAACCTAAACACGAGGATTTTAGCCTGAATTTAATGTAGCTGGAATTTGAATAGTTCAGCTATACAACTGTTTACCCCTGGAGGTATCCATTGAAAAGCTCATTACTATTGTTTGGAATAAGAATAATTAACTTTTCAATTCTGTCCTTTGGAGAATGTATACTGTATTAAAAGAAGGTGACTTCTGCTGCAGCAGCAAAGTCAGCACTGGAAAAATTGAATTAAACAATATGAAAGGACTGTCTTTCACCAGTGTTCTGATATTTAAAAACTGGTCGGTGCACTTTGCTGAGAAGAAAACAGTGTTTTGTGTAATCTTCAAACATTTTGCATCCTCTTTTTAGGAGCCCTCTCTGAAAAGCCCTTATAGAACAGTTGGCAGTGCATTAGATGATGGTAGGTTGACTATTTAATAGCTGTTAGCTCAGAACGGAACACAAAATCTTCATGTGCCTATGAAAGCATACTGAAAAACAGTGACTTGGATGAAAATTTACACTGTAATTCAATAATACAAAGTTAATTATCTCTTATTGATACAATTAAAATATTTTTACACTGTCAAGCTTCCTGGCCATCAGGCATCTTGCACAGAAAACTGCCAAAATGCTGGCCCTCATGGAAATAACTAATATCCTGCTTGGTGATCAGTGGGATCTGACTCATCCCTGGGAAATGCTGTGTTTTGTTTTGTTTCCCCACAACTTTTTTATGTTTGGGGCTGGGGAGCGTGTTCCAAACAAGTTAAAGGTGTTTGGGAAAGGCTGGAAGGGAGCTGTGCTGTGTCCTCATGTGCCCATCACAGGTAGCTTAGGCTGCCCTGGGAACATCCACTTCTTCTGGAATGTTATGCTCATTTATTTCTTGACACTTCAGCTTAGAGAAGAAGGAGTCAATATTTATAAGTGACTTGATAATTTTGATCTTGCTGTCTTAAAACTTCTTCACCTGGGATAGCTTTTCAGTGCTTTGTAGTGCACGGGTTGCTGGAGGTGAAGCTGTCCAAATGAAATATTTCCAGCTATTTTTCAGTCATAACAATACATATAAATCTTGCAAGCAACTGTTTATTGCCTAACTTTTTTGGAAGCAGCTCTGTTATATTTGTATTTTGTGGTTTCTGAAAATTTTAAGCCAAGTACAGAACTTGAACTTTATTCATTGAAAACAGATTTTAAAGAAGTTTAGACTCGTAAAGCTGAACAGTGCTGTGTTAGAATGGTAACCCTTAGTGTGACTGACCTGGGCTAACGTGAGGTATCTGACTTCTGCTTCTCTCTGCTCATGTTGTTGTTTTGGAATCAGGTCAGTGTGGCGTGAGCTAGCGCCTGGGATGGAAGAAGCTGCTTCGTTCTGGCAAGCAGAGAGCAGGAGTATGGGGAAGGAGTGGTGGTTTTGTTTTTGGAGATGGGGAAGGAGTTGTTCAGTTTTTTTGGGTATGTAATGCTGGCGTTAATTTGACTGTGGAAGTTGCAACAACAGGGTGGAAGCCCAGCACCACTGAAGTTACTGGCAGGGAGATTGTGGCTCCACCTAAACAGCGATGGAGCAGCACTGGGTCATCCAGTTCGTTGCTATTCGGTGTGTTAAAGAAACAACTTTTCTCTCACTGTTAAAGAGAGTTCTTGTTCCAAGTCCCTTCCAACCCAAGCCATTCTATGATTCTATCATCATTTTAATACTGTACATACAAAAGCATACAGATAAATGGGATGAAAAATACAACAACCAGCCTAGGATGCCAAACAAACTCGCAGACAGCTTGGAGTTCTGTGACTGTACTCCTAGGACAGCTCTAGGAGTTCGTTGTCCATTTGGAATCTTTGTAAATTGTCTTCTGCAAAATTAAGCTGCAAGATGTCTTTGTTCTGTGATGCTGTGATTAAATGCTACATGCATTTCTGCATTTATGCTATGTCATACCAGCCATGGTATAACTGAGCAAAATTTGTCACTCCTTGGAAAGGCTGCAGATGAGATTAATGCTCAGTATTGAAAATGTCAGTAATTTCAGAGCTGCTGATGGTGGTGGCTGAACCAACAGTGTGAAGTTTGCCCAAAGCATGATAGGACTGTTAGTGGGGAAAATGGAAGGGGAATGGTTGGCACGATGCTGTTAATTTCCCCTAAGCTTTCCAGGCAGTTAAATCCTGTTGGTTTTAATTTTCCTCTTCTTCTGTCCCCCTTCTGGCGACTTACGTATGTGCAGGTTTAAATATTTTTTCCCTTCAGTCTGGAAGTAAAATGATGATTCTCACCATCTAAAGGACAGTGCTTGTCGAAGAATTTCTGTGTGCTTGCAGGTAATGCAGGGAAAGTAATGCTTTCTGCTGAACTTGGGTTTTTCACTTTAATGTTACTGATCTGGACACAAAACCATGGGGTTGGTTTTCCAACAGCACAAAACCATGAAGATGTTACTGGTGTTTGTACTCTGCCATGTTAGTTCTGGTTTGGTTTTAGGAAGTAAGAAGGCCTGAATCAGCTCCATCTCTTTGCCTGATGGTCTCCAATGTACAGTGTGGTGTTATGGAATATGGTGTCTTTGTGACTGTGCTTGTGGAGTACAAATCCAGCAGATTTCTCTGAGGTTCTCACAAACAAAGCCATTGACTTCTTGTTAGCTTTTTGTCAGAGCTGACTGTACTGTCCTTTGTGACACTGCTTATCTCACAGACAGAGCAGAGGGCAGAGGTGGAGCTCTGAGTACCACTGTGCTGCTGCTGGTCTGTTAATTTTATGACAGTCATTGTCCATTCCTCATAGGTACAAACCACTTTTTTTTTTCTTCCATAGAGTTTACCAAATTCTACACCCTGAACGTAAAGGAAACGAGCATCTTGTTGCTAAAATGAGTGTTCCTATGTAAATGAAGCAGAAAATGGAAACAAACTGCCTGAACTGGAAGCTCAGTCACTGTATGCTGAAATATTACAGTAGAATCACCCCCACATAGGCAGAGTCTGATCCGTCCTTACCAACACGAGTGTATGTGGAAGCTTGAGCAGCAGTGTCACAGAACACACCAGAGGTGGGAGGGCAGCTTGTAGCTGCACAGCTCTGATGCTGCCCTGCAGAAGCTGGCGTGTTGTAGTGTTATGGTTGGCCAAGCACTCTCCTTTCACATCTGCAATGGCTTACATCAGATTTTCTTTGGCACGCGCTTCCCTCTGAATGAGTTTGAGCACTAGGAATACATATTCCAGTCGTTTATTTCATGAGGCTGTGATGCTTGCCCTGCAGAGATGGAGGGACGGAAATGTACAGAACTGTGGAAGAAGTTATGGTTTTCATCATGGCTGTTTGAGTATACGTTGCTTTTTCGCATCTGAAAGCTGTTATCTGTCTCTGTTTTATGTTCTGTTGATGGTATTTTCTGCAGTTAACATCTACAGGAAAACAGATTTCTATAAACTCCTGTTTCGTGCCCATATTAAATTGTGAGGAAATGCCTCTTGCTGTTAAGTGTCGAAATGTCCAGGAGGAACACAATTTCAGGACTTTGATTCTGTCTTTAAAACCCCAGATGCAGTCTGTGATAAAGGGTGTGAAGCGAGTCTGTGCTGCTGCATAATTACTTGTGCTGTCAAATGTGTGTAGTTGTAGAGGTATGCAGTAATGAGGGGCTGCTCGAGTGGCCTGAGGAGAAGAAAGTCATCCATCTCCATTTATGCTGGTTGGCTTACAGTAAGCATAAAGGCAGTGGGCTTTTTGAGTATTGTCTGATATTTAAAATTAAAAATAGTGTTGTTTTGTTGTTGTTGTTGTTGGTTGTAGGACTACCAACAGAACGTAGTTCCTCAATATCATAGAATCACAGAATGGCCTGCATTGAAAATGGCCACCATGCTCGGCTTGTTTCAACCCCCTGCTATGTGCAGGGTCACCAACCACCACACCAGGCTGCCCAGAGCTGCATCCAGGATGGGGCATTCTCTTTCTCTTTGCTTAATAGCATCTTTAGTGAGTATTGCATCCAGCCTGGAGATTCCCAACCGCACAGCTGTTCTCTGGAGTTACGCTTCAAGTTTTGCTTTGTTTTTTACCAGCTCCACAGCCGTGTGCTTACGAAGGCATAAAGCCATTAACAAGCAAGGTGCGAGATGAAGTCAGGCTGCAAAGTGCCTCTTGGTGGACATGCAGTGGCCTGTCTGAAATCTTTGTTGCTTTGCAGGTTGCTCTTCTCCTTCCATTCTCTTGGCTTTCCTTGTGTATTTCTGAGGGCATTCTTGGATAACTGAATTGCTTTTTTCTGATCTCTTTTTGAGAACGAAAATGCATTTAGTTCAGCTATAAGAACGTCTTGGGATTTTTCTTTTTAAGTAGGTTTGAATAATGCAAACAGTGAACTGCAGTCTGACTTGGACTTCAGATTATTCTCTCCTCCCCTTTGGAAATCCACTTGGGCTTGCAAAATAATTCCCTTAGAAATAGTAAACACAACTCTATTCTACTGAATTCTTGCTTGGAATGGAAACCATTGCAATATCCTGCTTCAGCCTCTGTGCTGCCACACTCCAAATAATGTGTTTTAGAGTTTGAAACTGGCCTGAAAAGAATTTTGAATCTGAAACCTCTTAATTTCTTTGGCTGCAAGTGGAGTCATTGTTCTACAAATCTCGGGATTGCGGTTGATCCCTGGTTGTTCATTCAGAAGGGACCACTCGCCATTTTTGGAACTACTTTAAACTAGTTTGTATGCAGTCTCAATCCTGACAAAACCAGAACTCTAGATAATATTGCTTTTGAATGGGAATTGCATACAGTTGTCTTAAGCCTAATCTAGCAGCAGCTTCTCAGGCTTGTTATGAGTATGATGTGCAATGGGGATATTTTATGTCAATACAATCAAATGCCTCTGAAACATCTTACTTTTTCAGGCTGTGATACTTGTGTCATTTTTCTTAATGCTGCTGTTGGGTTGATACCTTTGACCATCTTCAACTGATGCTTATTAAGAATAAAAGGGTGTTACAGTGGTAAGGCTTTTAGAGCAGAGAAAAAAAAACGTATTTTAGATATGTATTTATATTAGAATTAAATCATATTTGCAGGAGTGGAAAAGAGAAACAGTCCTCCAGAGTGAAAAATGTGGTTTTGGTCACTTCTCTTTTGAACAAACCACAATATAGCATCGTCATCAGTATTACTGTTGTTAAAAATGCTCAGCTGACAACTGCAGTGGATTCCAATAGACCTGGAGTGAAGGCTGTCTGCTCCCTCCAGCTCTGGCACAAAGCTGATCATGGATTGCATTTCCACTGCGCTTTGCCCAGGTCGTTCTGTAGCATTTTTATATGGTGGCTTTGTTATTTTGTAATGTCCACTTCCAGAAGGTAGCATGAATCCTAATGTTCTGCTTAGAAGCCTAAGATATGAAATACCCTTCTTTATTTATAACCCTTTATTGTGTATCCAGGCTCCATAAGCCACATGCTGAATTCTTGACCGGTGTGGCTTTCATTAAGGTTACCATGGGAATGACTGTATCCCCAAACTGAATGTAAATGAAAGCTTTGCCCATCGCTGAGTCAGTCTTTCTATTTCCATGAGATATCAGAAGGAGCAGCGTTCTGTGTTGTACATGTATAGTAATTCCTGCCCTAATGTTGGGGCTGGCTGCTTGGATCACTTAGCCTAGTGATAAAGAGCAAGGAGAGCTTCCAGCTCCTCCATCCCTGCACATGAGTCATGCGTGAGGTTTAATGCTGCAGATGTGCTTTGGGGTGAGCAGCCCTACAGGCAGGAAACTCGAAGCTGACGCAGCAGCTGTGGGCTGCAGCAGGGCACTGACCAAATGGTCTTCAGGCTCTGGTTGTCTGTGCAGAGCAAGGCAGGGAAAGCGGATGTTGTTAATAAGCGTGCCTGGAGTTCCTGAGTTGTGTTCCTTTGAAGCAGCTTGCAAACCAGGCATCTCAACTCAGAGGGATGCGTTGGAGCAGCTCTGTTGCTGTGGTGTGGCTTTGTAGAATTTCTAAGTAGGTTTATGGATTTTGGTTGTATGTGATTACAGCTGCACAAAAACCACTGATGTTGGGGTGTTCATTCTTTTTGGTTCAGCAAGAAGGCCGGTGGTAAAACTCTTCCATTCTACTTATTTTTGTCAAATCCAGAACCTTTTTTTTCTTTTTTTTCTTCCCTTTGGAATGTGTTCCAGTTTGATCTCAGAAGCAAACAGCTTTGAAGAAGCGTCCTCATGAGAGAAGACAATCCATCACCAATTTATTTCCTAATTGGTCAGACAGTGGGAGCAGTTGTTTGGTGTGGCTCTTGGTATGTCTGAGAATATTTCCTGCTCGCTGCTTCTCCACAGCAGTGTTTCAGCAGTGATGTTATGCTCTAAAAGGTGGGGAATTGTGGTCATGACAAACTGTCATAAAGTAAGGCTGGTGGTGAGGTTGCAGCTGTAGGAACCCAGGAACATGGGAGTAGCTGGCTGGAACTTTCTAACAGACCTGGGTGTGTCAATGAAGGGATGGATGTGTGTGAAATGGGATAGAGGAGATGCTGAGTGTTGGCCATTACAGCTGAAGTTGTTATGAGTTTTCCCAGACTTTGTGGGAGTTGTGTTTGTTCGAGAGCAATAATTCTGTTTGTGTGAGTGACATTTGTCAAGTTTTGAAGCTATAGAACATAAGTGTTTAGGAACGGAAAGTTCCCAGGCAGTCTGATGTAGCATTGCTGACTATTGATAACCCAGAATAATCCTTTCTTTTTTTTTCTTTTTTCTTTACCAATCTCAAAGTTTCAAGCATCAGTGAGTGCTGGCTTTGAATAGTAAATTGTGTTCTTTATTCCCCCAGGTCTTTAAAGGTGAATTTCAGCTTCCTGACTTCCTTAAAGAAGCTCCACAGGTACAGTGCTCAGTTAATTTCCTTTCTGCGGGAACAGCAGCGAGCCACTGTGAAAACAGCCTTGTAAACACTTCATACTTTTGATTTTCTGTTGGGTTTTGAAAGAAAGGCTGTGAACAGCTTTTCCATGGGGTTGCATCTCCCTTGCTCCCAGTCTTTCACTCAGCTGCCCTAAGGCTTTTTTTTGAATGCACGTTTAACTCTCATGTTAGTAATACTGTGGAGCCTGCAGTCCTCAGCTGACTGAAGGCTGCCATGAAACTAGAGGCATTTTGTATATTTTCTTACGTAGATCAAGTTGCTACTTGTAGAGGAATATCACCTTTTGTTGCTGTGCACTGAAAGGTTTAAAGCAAATAGGGCACAGATAGCAGAAATAATGAGGCTTTAAAAGAAAAAAAAAGTGCTGCTGTATCTGGCAAAACAAACCAAAATTATCATTTGTGCAAGCTGTTAATTGATACTAAATGTCCAAGTGCTGTTTAAAGTGCTCTCTGTGTTGTGCTTAGATAGGAAAAACAGGAAGTGGCTCGTCCCTGCTGTTGTCTCAGGGTGTGTTCAAGTAAAGCTAAGTAGAAAAATATTTGTTTTTCTGTGTTGTTTTTTTTTCCCCCTTCCAACTTGTCCTGCATATCCAGGGGCATGGCTTTGCAGAATTGGGAGAGGAAGCCTTGTAGGGGCTCTCTGCCTCCACATTTTCCAGCAGCTGTAGAGTGAGAGAGGCCCTCACCTCTCATTAGCCTCAACAAAAGCCTTTAGAGTTACTGTGATCTCTGTGACCAAAGTAGGCACGTTATCTACAGTGCTTGTATTTCTTTATATTTCTGTATCCATCAGTGATGATGCAGACAGTACAGAAACTCATTGAGGATGTAAATGTAAGCAGCCTGTATTAACTCAAGTGATTGACAGTGGGTGCAAGCTTTCTTGAAACGTTGGGAAAAGACTCTTTGAAAATGACTTCTGTTGGTGTAAAGGTTCAGAAACATGCAGAATGTGCCATGCACAGACAAGGCATTGTGACTTCTTCAGACCTTTCAAATGAAAATCAGCTTATTAAAAAGGAAAACTGGTTTCTTTTGTTCCAGCCAAAGAAGACAGTAGAAAGGAGGTCTCGTGGCAAGATAAAATGAACGTGGATCAGTGAAGTCGGATAGCTATAGTGTCTGTCTCATGTTTTTGGAACATAGCTTTTTGCTGTGGACACCAAATCTTTCTGATAAACCTGTGTGTGATCTCTGATACGGGCTTTGCACTCTTACTGGACGTTTGTGTGCTCTCACCCTCCAAACAGTCAGCGCTCGCGCTTTGCTGGTTGTGCTCAGCTAATAGAACAGCACCATTAAGGATCTGGCACCACGCAGCTAAGTGTGCTGTTGCTCACAGCATTGTTCACTCTCAACTGCTGGCCAATTTGTCTGTGCAGCTTAGTGGCAAGAAAACTGTTTCAGTATGTGCTGCTTAAGAGTTGTTGTTAGCAAACTGTACTGAGGAAGTGTGCTGCAGTTATTTCATAATGCTTTCAAATGCAATTATTTTGTTTATTTCAAGATTGTCTGCAGCATATCTGGCTGCAAACCTAGGGTGTGTCAGAACAAAAAGATGAAATATTGCTGATAAGGATTTCTGGCAAATGCAGGGATGAGCTATCTTGAAAGCTTAGCGTGCGGCGTAATGATGGTCTGCTGGCAAAACAAATTATCCTTCATCTGCCTGCAGCATCCATTAGATTAAATTATATTTTCCAGTTACCTTGTGTTGTGTCAGAAGACACAGTCCAGTGTTTTTAGCAAGTGTCATCTTGCCATCCATAATAGGAAAGGTGCAAAATGGGAATCTCCTACAGATCAGGAGGTGAAGTTACACAGCGTGCTGTGACTGCAGTATTTACCTCATTCTCAGCAGATTGATCCAAAGTAAGATTCTTGCAAAAAGCAAAGCCAACCTTTTTGAAATGGAGGCTTCTTTAAAATATAGATGCTGAAACTGGAGGTGAAATTAATTCTGAAGAAATATTCTGCTTTAATATCACGCTAAAGATAAAATTAATGTGATGTGGCCAAACAGCTGAATGGCGCCCTGGTGCTGCTGCTGCTGCTGCCTTTTTCTCTAATGGAATATTGCTCATTTTATCTTAATTATTTACTTAACAGACTGAACCCATGGAATAGAAGATGCAATGGATATTTCTTGCACAGAAGGTAATAGAAATGCCTGCAGTCTTGTTCAGTTGCTGTTCTTGGTGTAGTTGAAGTGATCTTTTTAAGCTTACTTATAACTCCACTCAAGATTCTGAGTAAGAGAAACATGAAAACAGAGCTCTTGGTTCTGAATCTGTAAAATGACATTGAGGTAAGTTGCAGTGGTGAGAGCTACAGAAGCACAGTTTGTGGTTTAAGAGTAACCGTGCAGTTCTGCATGGCCCGTTGCAGTTTATAGCACTTAAACTGGTTGCATTCTTCTATATCCAAAAGCAGTATGCTGCTTGAATGTAGCCCGTGTAGATAGGAATATGTGGCTGCAGATAGAGCTTCTTCTGTAGCCCTAAATATAGCCAGTGTCATGCCAATCAGAAATAATGGATATAAATGTTTTACAAAGCTTAATTGCAGATGTTTATTTTGGAATTGATAGGGAAACCATAATGTTCTCATGCAGACAGCGTTAAAATGACTACTTCACGTTGCCAATTACATCTTTCAAAAAGGTATTTAAAACAAATATTTCTAAAACCGTCTGATTTCTGAGAAACCAAATTAACTTCCCAGCAGTAATTAGCACTCGTACGTTGTGATGGAAGAGATGCTGTCAGTGCGTAGATGCAGCCCGCCTCCTTGAGTGCTTTGAATGCAAGTGGAAGTTCAGATTTGTGCCTAAATAGAAAGAAGTCTGATAGCAGACTGAAAAGGCAGCTCCTAATGGATCGACTTTGTTTAACAGTAACTTCACACACTGAGATGATGGTGGTTGCTTGTAATTATGCACTATTGCCATAAATGTAATATGCTATAAAGGATTAAAAACAATACTACATTGACCCCCAAAAAACCTGATTTTTTTTCTTTTTCTTTAGAAGAACACTGCTGCCTTCTCGATGGAAGTGATGTTACAAGGACTGTCCCACTGAGATCAATGAGGTGTACTGCTCATGGCCTGCTTTTCTCACGGTTCTCTCCCCTTTACTTTCATGCTCTCGTCTTTATGTTCAAGGTTTTGTTGTTGTGAGCGCATGCAAACCTGTTAAAAAAAAAAATACTAAAAAAGTCACTGTTAAATGTAGAACCGTATTTACATGTAAGCAACTACTTTTGAGGTCTTCAGAAACGCAGAACAATGCCTGTGTCTGAAATTGCTCTTCTGTCATCCAAATCCCAAGCCTCCATCCTCAAGGGTCTTTTATTTTACTTTTTTCTCCCTTTAGCAGTTTGGTTTTCAGTGTATGAACCTTTCAGAGGAGTGGTCTGTGCTTGTCCTAAACGGTTTTTTTTGGTGGAACAGTTTTGTTTTATCGACGTGTGGAAATGGTTTAAATCTCTTTTATTTAAAAAAAAAAGAAAAAAAAAAAAAAAAAAAAAAAAAAAAAAAAAAAAAAAAAAATATAAATTAAAAATAAATAACTTTTTTTTTTTTTTTTTTAAAAAAAATGCTTTAAATGTGAATTTTTTTTGGCCTCGGAGTTGGGGTTGAAATGATTCACATGGCTGAGATGGAAGGTGTCACCTTTGATCAATCTGAGCAGTCACAGGCATGGGTTGATGGTTGGACTGGGCGACTTCAGTGATCTTTCCAACCTTAGTGATTCTATGAGTGATCCTTTGATTCTGTCTCATGTCACGGCTGTGGATCTTGTCGAGGTTTGATGTTGGATGAGTTTTCTTTGCTTTAGGAGCTGAGCGATGGGACGAAATGAACATGGGTGCCCACTGAGAGGTGTATGGGCTGTAAGGTGGCGTTTGTTTCCCACAGGGGTAGGCAGGGAGGTTTGAGCCTATCGAATTTGTTCACCCAGAGCAGTTGTGTTGGGACAGGCGGTGATGGTGGGGAAATGGCTTCTAAAGGACATTCCTTCCAGCCCATAGCAGTGCAGTCAGATGGATACCCCAAAGCTCTGAGCACCCGTCAGCCACTCAGGGACATCACTATTGAGGTAAGTGGCGATGGTTTGGTTTGGGGATTTGTTTTGGTTGTATTTTCTGACCTGGCACTCAACCCAGTGAAGGTACCTCAGGGTTGTACACTGAGTTTCTCTTTACCCAAATTCTGCTTCTTAACGATGTGAAAGAGCTTTATTTTCCTTCATTTCCGTTAGCTACTGTAGTTCCTCTTGCATTTGATAAACCAGAGGCAGACGCACGCTTTTGGGTGCCTGCGGGGAAGGGATTCCCCTGCTACCCAACCGGGCACCAAATCCTCCTTAGAACTGAAGAGATGCAAAAGTGAGGCTGGAGCGCCCCCTGGTGCCCGCGCACCGCAGTGCCGCCGCTCTCCGCGCGGTGAGGCCCGCCCCGCTTCCCGCCCTTTTCTCCGCGCGGCCGCAGGTGCTTCCCCGCAGTTCCTCAGCGCCGCCGCCAGATGGCGGTGTGGGAAATGGCGGTCTGAGGGGAGGGCGCCGCCCTCGCCTGTCACGCCGCCAGAACCCAGCTGTGCTGAACCCACTGATGCTTAACAGGACCTGGCAAGGTGCTAAGCCACAGCTGGCGTTTAGCTGCCTAGTTAATACTTAATTAATCGAGCACCCGGCTTGCCTAGGCAGCCTTTATCTCCAGTCAGGCCTCCCCCTGCCCCACGTTGATGTGAGGAGATTTCTGCTGGCAGGGAGCCTTCCCCTCACACACCGCATGTCTTGCTCTTACGCATCTCTCCGTGGCCTAACGCAGAAGCTGTGGTGTGCTCCATCTCAATCTGTGCCACTTCTCACTAATAATCAGTTACACTAACTGTGGAGTTTTACAGTCTGATTCACAGCGAATTCAGGGATCCCGCCCTGTATCAGAGCGTCTGTTTGGTCTTTGTACACAGACTTATTAGGATTGCTGTATCTGGACACCCTGTCTGTTCTGCTTTGCTCACGCAAGCAAACCTTCATATCTGAGTGCCGCAGACAGAACACAGGGCCAAATACAGCTCCCATGGGTTGGGTTTATTAGCACCTGTGGGTTGGCAGATCCCTGTGTTGGGTTCATAGATCTCTGCTCTGATGGCATTTGGTTGTGCCATGGTTGGGTCACTTTTCTATAGGGATACAACTTTGCCAGCAGTGTAACCTCAGAAGGTGTTTAGGAGAAAGTTGCTGCAGCCAATATAGAAAAGCTGAGGGTACAGCAGTGCCTTGAGAGGCTTTTTTTGTTTTTAATCTTATTCTCAGCACACATTCTTAATGCAGCTCTGGGACTGCTGCCATTGCCCAGGGAATGAAGCACGACCTGCAGGTCCAGTTCAGTAACCTTTGTGTGTGTGTTTGAGGCAGCATCTGAGCAGTCAGAAAAGCTTGGGGAAGCAGACCGGGCCATTCCAATGACAAGGCGCTCGTAAACCAGGAGGAGGAATCTCTGGTAAAGTTGGATGGTGCTGACATGGCTCAAATAAATATTTGATTTAGAAATCATTTTGTTGAGCGATGATGCATTCTCCTTAATTATCTGTTGAGTTGGCCCTGGACATCCTTGAGCATGAAATGGTTGCGTTTACTTAGTTACAGGGTTTGTTTATTTATTGCGATGGTTAGTAGAGATGTGCTGTTGTGGCTGGTTACCCACTGCTAGTGCCATATTCGTCATAAAACCCTGCACTAATTATGGGCTGAGGTCTTATGATGTGAACCTCGCTATGGAGGAGATTGTGCAGCAGTTCCAAAGATTGTCATGTGTACTCATTAACTTACACAGACGTTTTCTTTTCCTAAACCTTGCTGTTTTGCTAAGGGAGGATCATGGTGTCTGTATTTGCAGTTAGCCACACACAGCGGTTAATCGTAGCCATAAATATTTCATGTCGCTACTTCTTGTTGCTGGGGATTACAAGCAGTCGTTATGAAACATTTACGTAGTCAAAAAGCAGCGCCCAGGTAGCAGATGCTCCTCCTCCTTTAATAATTTACAGCGATCGGAGGGAGGTGGGGAGCGGGACGGGACCCCCAGCGGTGTCAGCGCGTCCGGGCGCTGCGATGCACGGCAGCCTTTTACGTAACGCGGGGCCGCCGCTCCGCACCTGGAGCCCGGGGCGCGCCGCCGCCAGCAGGAGGCGGGAGCTGCGCGGGAGCGCGCTCTGCCGCGGGCCTATCGCTGCCGGCGGGCGGACCGCCCTCATCCCGCTAGCCAATGGCAGCGCGCGGCAGTGCGCTGCGCTGCCAATGGGCGTCGGGCTCGTACCCCGCGGCTGGTGGGGCCGTGCTGGCGGAGGAGCCCCGCTGGCCGCGGCCCAGCCCCGCCCGCCGGTGCCGGCGCTGCCCGTGGGCCGGTCCCCGTGCAGCCGCCAGCGCGCGCCCCGCCCGCCACGTGACCCTCCGCAACCGCGTGGGGTGGGAGGGCGCCCGCCTGACCGGGGTCTCGCTTCCCGTGAGCAGTGCCGCGGCTGCTGCTGGGCAGAGCCAGAGGGATGGTGGTAGTCACAGGGCAGAGCAAAGGGAGCGGAGACCCGGATGAGGCCATGTCGAGCTCGGATGCAGAGGATGACTTCCAAGAGCCAGCCACTCCCACGGCCACCCAGGCGGGCCAGGCGCTGCCGCTGCTGCCCCAGCAGGTAAGGGCTGCTCGCTGCCCAGCCCCGGGCGTCGCGGCTCCCGCTGCTCAGCGCCACGAACCCGCGTCTCTCCCGGGCTGTCAGCGCAGGTTCAGCTCGAATTGGAGCAAAGCCCTTTAATTACAGCGATTGCTCCCCTTCTCCATTCCTGCTTGAGCTTGACAAATACAAGTAAGTCTTTATTCTGACAGCGAGGCGGCTTATAGTGTGATGCAATGTGATGCTAAGATTTTGGGGCCTGCTGTCAGCTTCATTTAAGTGCAGAATCACTGATTTGCCAGTGTGCTGTAAGGGAACCAATGGAGCAGCAGCCAAGTGCAGGTGCCAGGGTTGGCCTGGGACTATGTATCTCCTCCCCTTTTTATTCATGCATGCGAAAGGAGGAGTTGTTTTTGTTTTGTTTTGTTTTGTTTCTGATTTATTTTCTTCCTCAGTAAGAGCCAAAAGGAGGCATTCACACTTTTAACAGATATCTAGCATTAAAGCTGTAGTGACCAGTGCTGTTCCAGATTTCTGTCTAAAATTCACCCAGGCAGCATCCGGGATTTATAAGGTGTTAACCCATGAAGCTCATTGCTTTGTGGCAGCAGGGCAGAGGCATTTGTCAGACCAAGTTTTGTCACGGTGGCACAGATTGTATGCTGGGACTTCTGCAAATCCCCACCCGCTTGGCCTGCGCGTAACTACAGAGCACTGGGGGCTCATTTCTGACAGTGTGATCACTTTTCCAGTTCCCAGAAGTCGTCCCACTGAATGTAGGAGGCATGTATTTCACTACAAGGCTGTCAACGCTGAGGCGTTACGAGGACACGATGTTGGCGGCGATGTTCAGCGGAAGGCATTACATCCCCACGGATGCCGAAGGCAGATACTTCATTGACAGAGATGGAACTTACTTTGGGTACGTGCAGTGTCCTCAGTATGCTTCCAAAGTGGTGGCTGAGGGAAAGGAAAACTAAGTTTTACGCTTGTTTCTTCTAGTTGAATGATGTCTGTGGAGTAGGTTTTAGGAAAACGGGGTTGGTGTGCATCCACGCCTTGAAAACATCTCAGAGAAAAAATGAATTGCAGCACGTCACCACTGGAAATGATTTATTTTCTTCTTAAGGGCTTAAGCTTTACAGTGGAGAAGGAAAATCAGCTGATGATGTTCTAGAGGACAAATTCATGTCATCTGCTTTGGAACATCTGCTCTCAGAGTATCAAGCTGTTTTGCTGCTTTAAAAAACGATGTCTTTGGCACTCGACTGGTTTATACCAATCTACTCCATTAAAATTACAGTGATTAAAGAAATATTTTAGTTCCCCAAAAATTCCTGTTTTAATGAAGATCTTTTTTCATGTTAATCACATTTTTCATTATCTGTTTCCCCTGAATTGAATATGCAAAGGGAGGTATGATTAGGCTTTAACTAATGCATTTCTGACAATGAAAGTGGACCTGTAACGCAGTTTCTGTGCCTGTGATGGGCTGTAGTTTTATAAGAAAAAATTACCAAGGTACATCTGCTGTCTGGTAAGGGAATAACTTACCTCTGGAGCTCTTCAGAAATACGTTAGATTAAAGCACAACTGGGGGGGGGACAAACAGCACTTTAAAAAGTATTTCTTTGAATAATTTTTGCTGACAGTGCCATGTACTTTCATTTTCAGGATTCATTTTGAACTTTGTAGCCTGTGTGTAGCTTGTTTTATTTTTAATAAAAATAACCTGATGTTTCAACTCTGTGTGAAGTGATGTGAGATCACTAGAAAAGACAGACATCATTTCTTGCAGTGTTCATAGGTTGGGGTCACAAAGCAGGTGTTGTAGTTTAACTTAAGGTACTTGTTTGTCCTTGACATCTCCGTAGTCCTCTGCTGAATGGTTGCTTTATTTTCAAGGCATGTTTGAACTGCACCTTAATGTGGGTCAGAAATAGATTTAGCCACTGTGAAAATATAACAATTTTATGTTTGGCAATTTAGAAGTTCCTGCCATCTTGTTGGACAACCAATTTGCTTTTGATGTTACTGATCTGAAGTCAGATTGTAGTGGGAACAGAGAGCCGCGTAGCACTTGTTACGTGAAGGTTGCAGTAATGCTTGTTTTACTTGATATGGTCAGCAGTACTTGATTAATGCTTATCAGGTGATTTATTTTCCACTTTAAAACTCCAGGGGTTTAGCAGTGTCTCAGAATCACAAGGAAAAATTCTTTTTTTCTCTTTTTTTTCTTTCTTATTGTATGAACGGATATGGCCCTGATCCTGTGAAAGGAGCACCTCCTTTGCAAATGCTCCATCCATTCGCATGGAGCCTCGGTTCTGAGTGGGATAAAACGTCCACGTGTCTGATTCGCTAGGAGAATCAAAGAAGTTTTTGTCCCAGATTGAAATTTGGAATACAGTGACTGCGATCTCTTTCCCACAGAATGGCCTTTTCTAATTTAAGGGGTTTCTCCCTCAACTATTTGTTAAAAACGTTGGCTGGAAGTGTAACTCGTGCTTCTTTCAGTTACTGAAGATTAAGGATTTCTGTCCCAGTAGAGTAAACAATGAATACATGGTGTTTCCTTTCCCACACACAACAGTTTTGCTGGAAACTTGTTAATTCTCAGTGTTTTGGTCCTTCTTTCAGAGACATCCTTAACTTCCTGCGCTCCGGTGACCTGCCGCCCAGAGAGCGAGTGAGGGCAGTGTACAAGGAAGCTCAGTATTATTCCATAGGACCATTGCTAGACCACCTGGAGGATGTCCAGCCTCTGAAGGGAGAGAAAGTGAGGCAAGCTTTCCTGGGCCTAATGCCGTACTACAAAGGTAAATAAACAAAGCACTATGATTGTTGTTTCTGCCATGATTCAGGTAGTTGAGTGGTGCTTTTAGGCCTCCTTTCAGACTGATTCCATCATATGTCATAAGTTTCTTACGTATCTTCCGTGCTGCTTAGACCTCTGAGGCTTTCACATGAGGTTTGTTCCTGCTGCATCTGAGGTTGTGAATTTTTTATGCTGTGTTCAAAAGGAGCCAGATCTAGGCCACAACATGCCAGGCTTAGCACTGAGCAGGAGCATCTCTGTGCCTCCCTATTTGCTCCATTAGAGCCTGCAGTGGAATCGGTTCAGGCACATGGTGAGGACACCAAGCTCACAAGACAATGGAGACTGATTTAATTAACATAGAATGTATCTAGTGCATCCATCTTTGTGGTACTGCTAATACTACATTAAGAACAACATGTAAACGCTGACAATGTAATACATTTCATGTGGAAAAAGAATGGATTTAATGTCTTTCACTAGGTGTTTCATTGTTACTTTCAACTTCTGTTTCTTAGATCATTTGGAGCGGATAATTGAAATAGCAAAGCTTAGAGCTGTGCAAAGAAAAGCAAGATTTGCGAAACTGAAAGTCTGTGTCTTCAAAGAGGAGATGCCCATCACTCCCTATGAATGCCCACATTTCAATTCTTTACGTTTCGAAAGAAGTGAAAGTGAGGCAAAGCTGTTTGAGCATCACTGTGAAGTGGATGTGTCTTTTGGACCTTGGGAGGCCGTGGCTGATGTGTATGACCTTCTGCACTGTATTGTGACAGACCTGTCTGATAGAGGGATAACTGTGGATCATCAGTGTATTGGTGTGTGTGATAAACACCTGATAAATCACTATTACTGCAAGCGTCCTATCTATGAGTTCAAGATCACTTGGTGGTGAGTTGTTTTGTCCAGACTGGTGCAGGAGATGAAAGGACTTCTAGATGACAATTGCTTTTAATATTTTTGCAACATGTCTCTGGAAATGCGTTGCTGCTAACATATATTGGAATCAGCCTGCTGAAATGTTGGCTAGTGCTTAGCTGTTCAGCGAAGAGGGACCTGTCACAGAGGTTGAAAAACCTCTGCAATATTAAAAAACCAACCAAACAGCCTGAAACAAGACTGTTGGCTCAGGTACCTTAATGAGGCACAAAACAAAATCACCTCGTGGAAATTACGGAGAGGAGTGTCTGACATTTATTTTTTAATGTGCCACCTACTGTGTGGCTGCAGTCCCATTGTCTGCAAAGTGGGTGTGATGGATCTCAGCCTCAGGTGCTAGTAAGTAATGCTGATAGAACGTGGTTGCATTTTACACACTTCAGAGTGTTCCAGTCACTATGCAGGCCTGCCACTTTATGGATTGAGTAACACCCTGCACAGAGATCCTGCAAGTGTAATTTTGGTGTAATAGACAACTAAAAAAAATAGAGGAGTGTTGTTGTGAAGATTAAGCTATATGCATATTTTAAAAATTAAGAATCTGCATTGTGAAGTGTAATATTTAGTTGTTTCTGTTGTTATAAAAAGGAACAGCAGGTTTGGAGAATATTCCTCATTGCTTTGTGGAATAATTACCGTTCATGAAAGATTTGTGCCTGTTTTTAGCCTTAGAAATTCTAACTGTTTACAGCATCTACAAAAAGAATCTATAGAATCAGGTCATTTGCAGAGGCTTTTGGTGAATGAGTAACTCCATCTGTACGTTCCTATTAGCAGAAGTATTAAGAATATTTAATGTGTATTATTTTATTACTGATTCTTTTTACAGTCTGTGCTATTAAACTTTGTTCCAGAGCTAGTCAAATGATGAGGCAAGTGCTTCCTTCTCCTCACCTCTTCAGTTAAATCTAACTTCCAGCATTCCTGCTGGCACTTCTCTGTGTGATGTCAGCACCTTTGTTTCTTCCTTTGTATTCTAATATCTCTCCAATTGCCCACCAGTGTATCTGGGAAGTACATTTATTTCCATGCTGAAGGAGGCAGCTGTTGCAGAGCCGTGTTCTTTCCAGAAGGTAATTTTTGCACTTCCGACGTTGGCAACCATCTGCTGAAGCTCCATTTCTGTGTGTCCAAAGCTGAAGGGTAGATGGAGCGATCTGAGGGTGCTGCTGTTGTGAGCTTCAGAAAATGCAACTACTGTTCAAAAAGACCCCACCTGAGGGAGGCTGGAAAGTAGGTGTCTGCATAGTGCATTCCTTTGGACTCCTTAATCCAAGATTCTTGCTTCATTAAACTTCTGACCAAAATACTTTACAGACCTATTAATTATGATAGAAAAAACTATCGCTTACCTGAGATAATTCTTAGAATATAAAAACTTGACGTAAAATTGTCTCATAAAAATATTTTCAGAAGGCTGGTTTTGCATTGAGTAATGTTCACACTTCTCTGTGTTTAATTTAGGAATTTATATTGAATTGTCTCTCAGAGGCAGGGACATAAAGTTCTTAAGAGCTCTTTGCAAGTGCTTATTTGGAGTTCACTGCTGTTAGGTGCTGAGTTTCAGGTCCAGAGTTGAAACTGCAAAGCACAGTGGTGCTGGGAGGAGGGAGATGAGTGTCACTTAGGTGTATTTGAATCTTTCAATCCAAATTTCTTTGGATTTAATTGTTCCTTAAGTACTGATTGTGTTACAAGTCCCTGTGCCTCTATTTGACTACCTACAATTACAAGTCAAAGAATCTTTCCCTAAACTGAGAGGAAGCTTGCATGATATCTGCTCTACTTTGCTGCCTTCTCTCCCCAAGAATCTTAAATTACAACCACGGTTTGGAGTAAAATGATGTAAAACCTTAAAGCTGAAGCTTAGAAACTTTTGGCTGCCAGTAAACTTCTGAGTTTATTCAGGGGCTGCAATGAGAATCCCGGCTGTACTGGAATATTCTCTTGTTATTTTTCTGCCACTTCCCATATCACACAGGACATAACTCTGGTTTGAATTACAGCACCACTTATTAACATGAAGCAGGCTGTTTTGACAGTGATTATTTTTGGCTTTAAGTGTTGTTCAGCTGTTCTCCTAGAGAAACTGTGACAAAATTCCTGTTAGAACCTTGTTTGTTATTTCTTAATGTGCACGTGTTGCTATTCTGTAAATTTTTTCCTGTTAATTGTTTAAATAAGTGAGAAAGTAAGGAAACTGCCTGACCCAAAAGGTGAAGATGAAAATCTGGGTCTGTATCAATTGCATCTTAACTGAAACTTTCATCCTTCTTTTGTATCTTCCAGAGGGCAGAAATAATTAAGTGCAATATTGAAGGAGGGAACACAGAGTTGAGCCGCGTGCTCTCATGTAACTCATCCATGGTGTGTGGTGATTTGTACAAGTTAGCAATACTGTTACTAACCACGCTTGTTCCAAGCAGTCTTTGTTTACAGTGGGTTGATTATATTGCCTGATGTGCATTTGGGTTTTGACAGAAACAGCGGAGTGGTGCAGGCAGATGTCAGGGGTGTCGTCCAGTCACTGGTTTATAGGACGTTCCTGACTTCACTGGCATGCAGCATACGTTCTGAAATGCTGCGTTTGCTACAAAGATGTGAGTTGCTGATTACTAAATCAGTGTTCAAGATCATTGGTTTTTTATATCATAAATATGATATTATTGTCTAATTAAACTAAATACCTATGTAATACCGGGTTGGGTTTTTTTTTTCCTTCTTGTACAGGCATTTCTTTATATCTGGCTAGAGGTTTGTTAGGGCATACTTAACTGTTTCTCTGTCTTTTTGTCACTTTATTATCTTCCCTGCTACTTCTCCATACACAGAACCCTACAGATACCCTGTGGCTACAAGCTGCTGCAATTTTCTTGGGCAACTTGGCCACCCAGAGCATGGTCTCATGTTATCATTCTGATGTTGTGGTGGACATCATCTCTGCAGAAAGGACAATGTATGTCAGTCCATTGTGCTCATTCACCGCAAAGGAAAGATGGTTTTCATTCCGTGTTCTGAGACAGGATGAGTGCAATTTTGGTTCCAGATTGATGTTCAGGAGCACATTTAGAAATGGTTTTTATTTTTTTGCCCTTCTAAATGAGAAGTCTGAAATGTTTTTGAAGTATGGACTGCATAGCTGGATTTCAGAGCTATCTGATTTTAATGAACAGCAGGGAGTGATTGTGAAATAGTCAAAAGGTTGTTGTTTAAAAAGTAGAGCTGTTAGATAGATTTGAAGTCGCTGTTTGTGTAAACACATGAAATATGTTTTTTTTCTTTAGCATAGTGCAAAAAGTAGTCTTAACACCAGTGCTTAGAATAAGGGACTTGGCCAGTTTCGCAGTGTGTCAGACACTTCTGCATCAGTTTTGCTTTGTAAGATGGGAAGGATACCTACTTTGTGAAACACTCGTGATATAAAGAGGATATTTGTGTGTTAGTGAGTATTCAACATTTATGTAAGCATCCATTTAGTGACTGTTGATTTCACCAGTTAAAAAACCAAACCAGCCCCCAATATAACTTGGTGCAAGCTCCTGAACTTGAATATCACCGTGTGTGATAATCTGCAAACCTCAGTGCTGAGCCTCTGTCTGCCTTGGAGGGAAGTGAAGGTGCCAGCATTCCTTATCCTGCTACGTGTTCTCTTCTAAAACTGCTTTTTAAAGCTGATTTTACCCAAACCTGTTACCAGGGATCAGTTTCTGCACTGATGAGTTTTTGGGGTTCTTAGGTTTTTAGGTTTCCATTTTAGGTTCCCAAAAGCTGTAATTCCTGCAGCAGAAAGTTTGGCATAAGAAGTTGCTAAGAAGTGTGCCCAGAGATACATCATGATGTAGTAAATGCATGTATTTGTTAGTGTGGATATTTGTGAGATTTTATTGGTTTTCTTTAGTTCTGTAGTACTAATTTCTGAAACTAGCATGAGATACAAGGAGTTCAACGTTGGGCTTCTGATAAGCCTGCTTATGCCTTAAATATCCCCTGTTCTCATTGTGTAAAATCACTCATCTCAGAGTCATTTAGTATATGAAACAGTAAAGGCTGTTATAGTTGCAGGAGAATTGGGAGTCCTCCCTGATTCTCTCCATGAGTTCTGTAGAGGACAAATTCCTACTGATTCAATTACAGCCTCCATTCTTCTGATCTGCTTGGGTGAGAATGGCTCCAGCAGTGACGCCAGGCAGCTGGGTTGGCTCTGGCAGCTGAAGTCCTTGGAGGCAAAAGTCAAAGACACCTCAGCATGTGAGAAACAGATAAGATTGTGAGATTTGCATACACATATAATCTGACTTTTAGTGAAGTGATTGTTAAATGTGCAGCAAATTCCAAAGGGTTTTGATACCTGAAACTGTTCCAAGCGATAGCTTTGTTAAACCGTAATCTAGTTGGAGCCCTATTGTTCTAATGTGTGTTTGTGTAAGATGTTCTGACCAGTTCTTCTGTTAATGGTTCTCACCATTATCTGTGTTTTCCCAGTGGAACCTGAAGCAGTGAGCACAGCTCCCAGCCCCCCAGGCCCGACACAGCTTGTTTTGCACATACCCTGTGCTTTGAGTACGTGCTGCTTATTGCAGCAGGTACAGTGGGAAGGAATTAGTTCTGCTGCTTATTTCCCCAGGGAAAAACCTATTCCTTGATAGGAATACTTCAGTGAGATCCTGCTCTGTGCTTCCCCACATCTTTGTTTTTCAGATGCTTAAGGAGGTGAGGTGTCTTGCTAGAAGATCCGTGATCAGAACAGCTCTCTGGATTGCCCCTGGTTCCTTCCCCTTTCTGTAACTTCTAAATGAACGACTTCTGTCTGCAGGACATGCAGTAATTCTTTCTACTGCACCACTGCATTTTTTGCTTTGTGAACACCCACTCTAATGTTTGAACTTCTAAGGTATTACAAAAACACCCAAGGAATTTGCACAATCCAGTCCCTGTCAGCCTGGTTAACCTTGGCTATATTCTTCCAGTTCCTGGGTGTAGGTTCACTGTCCTGTGATAAACCAAGTGTGAGAAGATGCACAGGCTGTGCATGAACTGGGAAACACAGCAGTGACTGGTGAGGTGTCTGCTGGGTCACACTACTTGAATTTCAACATTGTTGATAGATAATTTCATCTAAGCAAAGAAAAACCTCCTGTCTTTTCATTGCCTTTCTGAAATAAGCTGGTTTTCAGAGGATAATTATGATGTATGTACTCCTCCAACTGGAAATTGCTTTCCAGATCAGTTCTTACTCATTTTACTTATGCAGGTTTACTCTCAGTTTACCTACCCTTTCACTGTGACTTTTGTAAAAGAATTTTGTTTTGCTGAAGTTGGGTGCCTGTATGCATTTTAATCCCTAATGCAATTGAAAACCCAGCCTGGATGCTGATGGTTGAGGTTTGCAGTTATCCCCAATGATTTTAATTAAGTTAATGTGCAATGCTTAATATTGTGGGTACTGCGGTACATTATTTCTTACTACACTTGGCTTTTCAGTACAGGTGATATACCCTGTTTCTATTTAAAATCTATAGAAGACAAGAATATGTACATGCAGCTTCTGTTGTGCAATAAATTATACTGAACATAGCTGGGATGTGGCTGCTGCTCTCCCCTTTCTGCTCTGCGTGATTTCAGTGTGCCTTCCATGCCCACACGATAATTACGGTATCGGTCACCCTTCCAAGTCTTCCTTAAGGCCACCAGCCAGCAGCTCATCAGCACTTCCGTGAGAGCTGGTCCTCGCGCACGATGACTGCAATCTGACCATCGGAGTTCTGCTTCCTTCCCCCCACGCCCAACCGTACGCGTGAGACAGCACCGAGCAGAGCAGTTCTGAGCAGCTCTCCGCGCTCTAAGAGCAGCTCAGTGTCAGGGTTGGTGCAGCTGGCTGTGGCTGGAGCTCTTTGCCATTTCCCCAGCCCTTTCTCTCGCCGTCCGTTTCTCTCACGCGCTCAGTCCTGCTCGCCGCTCGCGCGTCACGCCGCCAGCACTCACACCTCAGCCCGCCTCCCTCGCCCCGCACGGCTCCGCCCCGGAAGTGACGTCAGCGCGCTTCCGCGTGCGGCCGCCGAGCGGAAGAAGCGCCGTGCCGGGAGCGGAGCAGCGCGGGACGCGGGGACGGCCCCGCCACTGCCCGGGAAACGGTGAGCCGCTGCTCGGCCCTGCCCCGCTGCTCTGGGGGGATGGAGCCGGGCGGGTCCCTCCTGGGCAGCCTCTGTTTCTCCGTCCCGCTGAAGGCCCGGGTCGCTGTGGGTCGCGGGGCTGCGGCTGGGCCCGCCGGTACGGCCTGACAGCTCTGTGCGTGCAGCTCCGTGGCACCGCTCATCTTTCTCCTTTACCCATTCCCTTTGTCCGGGTTGCAGCCGTCGTTTTGAACTTCGCAGATCTCTCCCCTCGGCCTCTTCCCCTCTTCCTCTCTTTGTTTTCTCTTTTGGCTCCTTATCCGTAAGCATTCCCATAACATCAAAGTTCTTGAGGCTGCAGCCGAGCTCCGCGGGGCTCTGCTCAGTGCCCAGCTCACCGCCTAGGAGCGGCCGCAATGGGGTGAGGAACCGGGAGGTGAGAGACGTGCCCAGGTGCTCAGCCTGCCTTTGTGTGGGGCGCTGAGTCAGCCGGGCAGGTTGTGGCAGGTAGAGCCCGGTCGCTGATGTGGGACGGGTGGAGTGTGGTGCCGAGCTGGTAGAGTTGCACGGTGTTGGAAAAAGGGGTTTGTAATGGCAGCTCTGTTTTAAGTCGGTTGGTGACACTGTTCGGCTTTGCTCTTGCTGTTGAGAAATTGTCTTTGAAGCATTGCTGTGCTTTGGCAGCTCCTTATGTTGGTGTCTGGGGTGTGTATGGAAAAAAGCTCTTGGCTGTCCAGCTTGCTCGCCTAGGTCACCTTCCAGGCAGCCGGTGACTGGAAGCTTAGCATGGCAGGACAGCTAACTGTAGCTTTGTGCACCTGACAGTGTTCTTGGGCTGCATCAGAAGAAGCACGGCCAGCAGGTGGAGAGAAGTGATCCTGTCCCTCTGCTCTGCTGGTGAGACCTTGCCTGGGGTGCTGCATCCAGGTTTGGTCTGCTCAGGACAGATATGGGGCTGTTGGAGTACATCCAGAGGAGGGCCACAAAAGTGGTCCAAGAGGTGGATCAGCTCCCTGTGAGGACAGGCTGAGAGCTGAGATGTGCAGCCTAGGGGAGAGAAGGCTCTGGGGTTGGCTGAGAGTGGTCTGCCAGTATCTAGAAAGGGGCTGTAAGGAAGAAGGGGACTGACTCTTTAGTGGAGTCTGTTGTGATAGGACAAGAAAAAAATGGTTTCAAACTAAAAGAGGGGATATTTACACTGGGTATGGGTTCAAACTAAAAGGGGGTATTTACACTGGATATATGGGAAAAGTCTTTTATTATAAGGCTGATGAGGCACTGACACATATTGCCCAGAGAGGTGGTGGATGCCCCATCCCTGCAGACACCCGGGTTCAGACTGAATGGGGCTCTGAGCACCTGATGGAGCTGTGAGTTTCCCTGTGGGACCAGATAGCCTTTAAATGTCTCTTCTGACTCAAATGGTTCTGTGGTTCTTTGACAGTGCGTGGCAGGAGCAGCCCTGCCTCGAGGACCATACATCTCAGCCTTCTGGACATGGCTGCACAGGTGTTTTGCAGGGGAAGACAAAATTGAGAAGGCCATTGTAGCTCAGATGATGTTTCACTGACCAAAACCCATCAAAACAACACGCAATAAGAGAAAATAATAGGAACGTGAAGCCAATTGTATCAGTTCATAAGATCATTTTGCACAGCGAGCAATTACTGTGTGAGGTGATCTCAAGGTTTTCGTTGAGAGAAGAGCAGTCTCACTTCTTAACTTGTATCCAGTGGTTTACGTGCAGGCAAAATAAGCAAAGTGTGTAGAAGCTGGTAGCTGCTATTTCTGAGAAGTTTTAGAAGTTCTGGCTCATCATTCATTACTTGAATTCCCAGCTTCTTGTGATTTCATTTAAAAGTGCCATTATGAGTCACGTGGATGTGGTGAGACTCAGTCTGGCAATTCACAAGCACATGCTCCTCCTAGCAGAGCAGTCATTGCTATGGGCAGAATTTGATTTTGATGTGGGCAAGTAAAACTGTAGCCTGAGGTCGGTATTGATGTTGGAGGGGGGGAAAAGGCCCTGACCAGTCTGTGAAAGTGATCTTATGTTGGAGTAAGCAGTGAGCTCTGTGGGTAGGATGTCGAAGCCCCTCGGCCATTGGGCTCCAGAAGTTTAAAGCAGTGATTGCCATTTCCCCTGCCTAATTACAGCCCACGTCTGCATGCTCGTTTTCAGGTGGCTGACCAGGCTCTGTGTCTGTGATTGCAGTTAACAACCATTTATTTTCTCAGGAATATTAATCAACAGCCTGCACTATGTATATTAGGATGCAGATGTTACAGCTGAAGTTTCATAGTTGCAAGCAAGATGCTCCCTAAATTTGTGAAGACTCAAGCAATCTATTCTGCAAAAACAGATGCTGCATTTCTTTCTGAATTCTGAAGTTGCCTAATGGCTTTTGTGTTCTCTGACTCTGTTAGATCATGCTGCCCCACCCTTTCCTTTGGAAGAAACTAGCTCATGCTTAATTAGCTTTCTGCTAATTACATACTTGAACATTCGGGGCTACACGTGAGTCACGGCTATTTCAACCCTTAGATGGCTCTGAAGAATTTTGTGGCATTTGGGTCAGCGGTTGTTCCTCGGAATGAGCTCCTGGATGATGGAAGGGAGTGGGATGGGACTCTGGTTTGTTACAAGTTGGTATTTCAGAGTGGTATTCACTTACAAGATCATCTGCTTCTTCAGATGCCAGCGCTGATAACATTTTGTACTGTTTACCCAGGAAGACGTTTACTGTTTCTCTTGCTTTTGAGATAAGGCAGTCTGTCTGTGAGCACTTCCTTTGGGATGCAGCAATAGCTTTGAAGCTGTTGGCTACGCCTATTATTCTCAGGACAGTTTTTCATAGGCAAAATGTCTCGTTATTGGAGACCTTCACCCCATCCCATCCATCCCCCCTTTGATGCAATGCGGTGTAAACCAGCAGGCATTACTTTAGGAATTGCTCATTTGGAGACTTCAGAGCTTTGCTGCTTCTCCTGCTCTAAAATTTCATTCCTGGGATGGCCATTAAAGACCAGGCAGTCAGTGGGCAATGCTGTCAGACGCTCAGAAAACACTTTCTGGAGCACTTTGATGACTTTTTAATGAGAAGAATTAATACGAGTTGTTCACAAAGTGCTGTGGAGACTTAAACTTGGAGAGCTAAATTGCTTTTATGTCTGTCCAGAGAACAGACTGTATGGCTTATTTGTAAGGCTTATGTTGAGGGCTTTCATGAGAAGCCTTGCTGTCAAGAAATAGAATAAAGTAGAGTAAAATAAAATAAAAGCCACCACTTTGATTTGCAGGGTTTACATGCAGAGTTACTTTGAAGCTGTTATTCATAGCCTGTCATAATTGTAAATTGACTTGCAATTACATCTTAATGAAGGCACTGTAGATGAAATGAGGCCTGCTCAGCTCTGCTACGTGAGCCTTGCCAGCTCCAGCTTCCATCTCAGGTAAGCAATCCAGGGCTAATGAATAGTTTATGAAGAAGTCATTACCTCGTCCACATTGGCAGTAAAGGTGTCTGCTCACCTGCTCAGTGCCTGGGAGCTGAGGTTGGTGCACGTTAAGAGAGCAGCAAGAGAAACAAGCAGGTGGTGTTGGAGCTCATGGTAAATCTGCAGCATGGCTAAACCTCATTGCACAAACAGTGCTCTTCCTAAAGCCACAGCTCTGCCTGCAGCCTTTGTAAAACCTAACATGGTAGGAAAATAGTCTTGGGTTTACTGCTGAAAGGGACGTGTTACATAAGTGGAATCTTTCATGTGTGCATTAAATCAGTTCTTGGTGACAGATCCTATTTTTTCAGTTACGTAAAGGCTACGAGCACGTTTGCTCTGCAGTGACTACAGCACTGCTCTAACAAGTTCCCTGTGAGTTTTTCCAGCTATTTTGTAACCTGGTCTGTGTGGATAATTAGGAGACAGCCTCTTGCTGTTGTTGAGAGCTGTCATTGCTGCTCCTTGCAGTCCTGCTGTGGGACACTGACAGAGATGGCCTGAGGATCTGTGGGCTCACCATTGAGGGAGAGAGCACAGGTGTGTGCTGTGAGCAGGGTGCTGCTGTGCTTTGCTGGCTGCTAAAGGTTCCCTTTGGATAACAGTGGGTATTTCCCAGTGTGTGTAGGTTGCAGGTAGCAGGTTGTGAAGGCTGCCTGAAGACTGAAGGCTTTGATGGAATCCCCTTGTAGACTTGGAGTTGTTCTTACAGCATCTCACGAGAAAATTAAGCTCGTGAAGCTGGAAATCCTTGGAAGACAGAATGAAAGTGTTATATTGAGCGCCTGTACTCAAGGTGTGCTGTTGTACTTCAGGTCAGCAGAGAATATGTCATAAAAGAAAAGCAGAAGCAGCTCCCTCCCCTTCCATCCCCAGCACATTCCAAGCAGCTTTGGTGCTTTGGTTCTTTTCCTTCTGCAGTGCTTGTACCAAAATGCAA